CTCTAAGCGGTTTACAGAGTCAGCATATATTGCCCCCACAGTCTGGGTCCTCAGCCTTCCATCCTTCCGAGGGGGGTGAAATGAGGACCCAGACTGTGGGGGCAATATATGCTGACTCTGTAAACCGCTTAGAGAGGGCTGAAAGCCCTATGAAGCGGTATATAAGTCTAACTGCTATTGCTATTGCTATTCACATTTATTGGGTGTGTTTGTGTGTGAGGAGATGCAATTCACCTCTGCTTTAGTTATTAATCCGCCTCTGATGCTAAGCAACTCAGCAACACCTGTGAGGACTATTTATTGCTAAGTGGTCAAGAGACATTCATGGGGCTATGTCTGCAGTTGAGCCATTTGGCAAGCAGGGTAGATTCACATTGCCAGACAGGGCTTGCTCCTATCCTTGTTACACTCCCTCATGTTGTTGATAAAAACTTTTCCCAACTGCTCCCGGCAATGTTTAGACCGTAACGCCTTGAAAATTGATGACAGTTTCTTTCTCTTTGTTTGGTTATTACACAAAAAGCTGTGATAGTGGGTTATCGCAGTGTGCGAGAGGCCTGCAATTTGGCGCCTAATGCACCGAGCTTTCCTACACCCTGTTTTTATGCCAAGATTTATTATAAGTGGATATATCACAGCCACAAAGCCAGCAACAAGATTACTCCTCACATGGTAATGAGAATAAAACAAAACGAACTACCTCTGAATTTTTTCTCCAGGAAAATGATAGGGTGTGATCTGTAATAAGAGCCCTTTTCCGCAGAGAGTGTATAAATGTCATTTTCCATTCTATTTGCAGAGTAGAGCAGAAGGCAATTAACTTCTAGTCGTCCTTGGATATCTTTTGGGGAAGTTGCTTTCTGTTTCCCTTGAAAGTTTAATGTACCAGGTTCAGCATTTCCAGATGAGGCACACACAAAATGAAGACCGACTGAAAATTTTCTCAGGTGGTCTAATCCTTTGTAGAGGATTCCATCCAATCTGTGTTTTTCACCAAACTGACCCGCTTCCCATCCCTTGGGCTAATTCGTGGGTCAGAACAATTTGGTTTTCTCTAAATCTTGTGACTTGTGGTGAATCTCCCAGAGTCACTGGGAATCGAGACGCATACAAATTGAAGAGATAAATAGACTTCCTAATGCAGTGATGGCTAACCTTTTTGGAACAGAGTGACATGTGTATGCCAGGGCGACGTAAACCTGATGACCAGCTAGCTGGCACTGTCGGAAACCCAACAACCAGCTGGCTGAGCTGGGGCAATGGCGCACAGGCCCACAGAGAGGGCAGTGACGTGCAGGCAGGGGAGGCAGGGGAGGCACAGCCTCACCACTGTAAATCATGAAAAGGAAAAAAAAANAAGCCTCCGGGTGCTCTTCAAGGGCAGCCCCATGTAGAGAGCGTTATAGTAGTCCAGGCGAGAAAGGACGAGGGCATGAGTAAAGTTGTGATGTTCTACTTTTTTGTTTCAGTGTATGCGCAAACTAATTTGTCTAATACTTCCCTATTATACACCAAATAAGATTAGTGAAATAAAATTAAGGGAACCTTAATGTACATTAGCTGCTCAATATTTATTTTTACATTTTTACAAATAAGTCTAGTACCTGGGAATTCCAAGTATGATTCCTGTGGGTGCGTTGAGCGACAGGCACTTCCTGTGGCTCATACCAGACTTCCTGACCAACAGAATGAATTGATAAAATGCTTATTTTATTTTAAAAAGTAATGCCAAGTTGCAATTATTAGCTTTATTTCCAAGAATGTTTCTCAGCCTGCCTAGAGGAATTTTTTTTTAAATGTGTCGACCGATATGCAGAAGAAATTAAAAGAAACTGAGGTGATAAGTAATATTCCATAATAGCTACAGAGAATGATGTGGTTTATTTTCATCAACTTCACCATACATGTTCCATTACAATTTACACTTCCATTCTTTCTTCTTCTTTCAAAAACAAAACCAAACTGCCACATTCTTAATGTTTTGGGTAATATGACTTAGCTGTGGCATGACCTCAAATTAAAGACACACATGGACATTACTTTCCAGATCATTTTCTTTGGGAAATCAGAGTTGGAAAGAGTGTGTTGCTGCTTGTTATATTATCTGAAAGATCAAAGGGATGATAGTGAAAAAATTCTGGTTTAAATTATTCTTAAATGTATCAGTATAGCATATTCCCCAGCATTTGTTACACCTGGTAGATATCTGCAGGAAGCATATTTTTAAGTGAATTAGGTCAGAAGGTATTACCAAAACAGCAAAATTACATGCAAAGTCTCTCTCATCATTTGATTTTTACATTAACCTGCAAATCCTATGAGATGCCAGCCTAATAAATTACTACATAGATTCCGAAGATCCTTCTTCTCTAGAGAAAAATTAACATCTGGTTCAATTATAGAAAAATGTGATGAGCCAAAAAGACACATGATTATCAAAGAGATTCACTCACAGATTTATTAAAATCCTAGGAGAAATAAAACATGCCTTTTTTCCTATTGACATTTGAGAGATGAAGTTTAGTAACAGCTGCATTTCATTGAGAAATTAATTTGTTTTAATTTCATTCAATGAAGATACAGTGCAAATTTGAAAAATATATTTTATAAAAAATGGTAATGTATCATGAACATTCATAAAAAATAAAAAGATATTATCTAAGTTTGTGTGTGCTGGCGATTCTCTTTAGGAGAAAAAAAGATGAATATATTGTATATATAGTGCTTGTATTTAAGAGTATACTTATAATTAAAAATGCTATATGTTTTCATATTAATTCAATAAATCAATACAGCAAGATGAAGTAAAAAAAGGATTTGATAAAGGAGTAAGTTAAAAATCCAGGAACATTGTTATCCAGTTACATTTTGCTTGCCTTGTTAGTTATTTCTTAAATATCAAGGTGATACTGTATTTTTCATTGTTAGAAATTAATGTTGAAGGAAAATATTTTCTGATTTTTAACATTATGAAAAACTGATACTGATTTTATAATATATCTAAACTTGAAAAATTGAAATGTTGTATATATTTAGGAACAACACAAAGTTTTAATTGTATCTTCCTTATGAGCATGCTCATTCAGATGTCTGCTATGAAATATTGCTTTATTCTAAGGCGGTGGGGGGATCTAGAAGAGAAATTTGGCCTCCTTTAGAAAAGTTTGTCATTAAGAATCTTCCGTCTGCCAGCCAATGTCGGCTGGCGACTCCCCNTATGCCTATTCATTGGCTGACCTTGTTCCCATGTCTCTCCCAGTCATGAATATTTTAACACATTCTTTGGAAGTTATCCACTAGAAGCCACCTATCAAAAGGAGCTTAAGACATCAATAGAGAAAGAAGTCACCCATTTTGTTTCAGAAATTTCTCTTGTTTTTCTCTTTGTGATACTCATTTATTTATTTTTTTATTTCATGTTTTATTTGTTTGAATGCAACCACCAGAGGTTTAACCACCACTTTTTAAAACTAGCCTTGAATGGGATTAAAATTAGCCTTGAACATGCAACTTTATGATTGCACTGCACCCATTACTGCCACAAACTTTCCCTGCTAGCGATAACAAACATCAAAATTCTAATGTCATCCATTAATTAAACATTTTCTATCTTTTTTTTTAAGAGAGAGAGAGGGAAGTGGAAAACTTACTTAGAGGCAACTCTGAAGTATTTCTGGATGAAATAAAATGCTACCGCAAGAGGCAGGAGAGCAAGTAGGAAGTAGTGGGTGGCATAGGATATCATCCCGACAGCAGATAGACAGAGTAATGTTGAACGAGAGAGGGATTCTACAGTCGGTGGAATGTGCTGCAGCAAACATAAGTAATAAATATTGTTCGGAATATAATCTAATATAATAATCTGTTATTTCCCTACTCATAGCATGCAACAACTCAAGGTGCTCACCTGATCAATAATATTTGTATCAGCAGAAAAACGGTTCAGAATCAGCCCCAAAGGTGTCATATCAAAGAATCTGTAAAGCGGGCAAGAATAGTAAAAGGTTGTCCAGTTTAGAAAGAACGTTCCCAGTTATTTTATTTTATACATATTTGTTTGATTGCCTTATCCTGCACTAAATTACACGAGGTGCCATCTTTCCAAAATTAAGCAACGAACCCATCTTCCCATTTGATGACATCATCTAGGCAAAAAGTGAAGGGAGAGATGGACAATGTGACACAGGGCCTTCTCTAGGGCGGCCCCCACATTTTGGAATTTTTTATTTGCAACTGTTTACAAAGTTCCGTCCTTCGGGACATTGAAAAGAATAGCAAAGTTGGTTTTACTTCACTGAGCAGAAGGGAGGGAGGGAGGAAGGAGAAGGAAGGAGGGAGGGAAGGAAGGAAGGAGGGAGGAAGGGAGGGAAATAAAGATGGAAGGAGGGAGGGAAAGGAAAGAAGGAAGGAAGATTACATTTTTTCTGGATGAAGTTATGTTTACAAGATTTCTGGAGGTGCCTAAAACCAGGCCCTGGAGCCTTCAACATCTGGGCAGCTTTGAAGTCACCAGATCTTTACCGCAGCATCACTGATGGTCAGAAAGGATACCGTGTCTCATCAGTCCAGCTGGGATAAGGGATTTGAGGAACCATTAAAGCCTAGCTAGATTGGTATCAAGAATCAAATCTGTGCTGCAACTATCCTAATGGCCAAGAGATGGCAGTAAAGGTGGACACAAAACTGTTTATGCTGCCATCTAGTGGTCCTGTGAATTATTGCAGCTCAGAGAAGTTAACCATATTCTAAATGCTGGTCCAGTCATTGAGCAGTTTATCTGCAGAGGGAGTGTAGAGGGAAGGGCTGAACAGCCTTGCAGATGGTATTGTTTTCCTAAAATCTAAACTTGTAAACTATGGTTACAACTAGAGTGGCATAGAAATGTAATAAAATATGATAGATAGATAGATAGATAGATAGATAGATAGATAGATAGATAGATAGATAGATAGATAGATAGATAGATAGATAGATAGATAGATGTAATAACATATGAGATAGATAGATAATTAGATTGGCATAGAAATGTAATAACATATGATGATAGATAGATAGATAGATNTCTATCTATCTATCTATCTATCTATCTATCTATCTATCTATCTATCTATCTATCTATCTATCTATCTATCTATCTATCTATCATCTATCTATCCAAAGTGTTGAAGGTATTGACTCTTCAGCACCTTATGACCTACGGACCACAAGGGGGCAGTATAGACAGAGGATTATGATTTACTTTGATCCCCTCTATCACGCTGCCTGGTTTTTGTCTAGGATACTAATCTGAGGTCACTTACTTCTGGCTTTCTTCCCAGGCACAACCTTTACTGGTTGACATTCCACATGGTTGGAATTACCAGAACACAACAAATACAGTACAACGTTCCAATACAGGGTCATAAAAGTTTTCACTTGATGGATCCCATCAATGATCTCATGCGCTGACCTCGGCGTGTCCTCATTAAAAAAAAAGAAGAAATGTCCCAAATCTCACAACTTCATCAAGGATCCCACGACATGCTTACATGACATTCTGAAGGGTTGCAGTGTGTTTGGGGGAAATGTTGCGTCTTCATGTGAACTCTTGCAAGATATCAGGGTTTTCCCGTGTGATTTCGTAATACGTTACTCTTCTCATTTTCACAAAGGAAAACCCGAACCCTATTTATCTCGTCCCAATTTTGATCCTTTTTAATTTTTAAATTAAAAGAATCATTTTGATAGCGTTGCTAATTCTTGGCTCAGCCCATCATTGTCATTACTGGTGCCCTAACATGGGTTGAGAGAGCAGAGGAAAAAACCCTGTTAAGCATATCGTATTTTTCAGAGTATAAGACGCACCTTTTCCCCTCAAAAAAGAGGCTGAAAATCTGGGTGCGTCCTATACACTGAATACAGCATTTTTGGCCTCCTAAAACCATGCCCCTTTCACAAAAATAGCCATGCAGAGCCTTTAGGAGGCTTTCAGAGTGCTCCCGGGGGGCTGGGGAGGGCAGAAATGAGCGAAAAACTGGCTGTTTTTTTTAGGCTTCCCCAAACAGCACAAAGCAGATTCCTGGTCCCAACAAAACCCCTTTTATTAAACAAAGTCAGCAAAGGCCTGGTAAACAGTCTTTAAAAGGTGAATTTATGACCACAGACGTTATCTAGCTTGAAGAGCTGCCATGTAAATATTTTCCAAACTCAAGGAAAGACTTGGCACAGAGTCTCTGAGATTCACAGACAAAAGTTCTTCGTTTGTTTGTTTGCAAAAGCCCACTCCCCTTTCGCTCCTCTTTTATTTCCTATGGGAGGGGCCATTCACCATCTACCTGGGCTTTACTCCCAAGTCGACCCTGATTTCTTAGTTGTTCTTTTCTTCTGGCAGCTCTGCACATGCACACACTGGGAACGGGCTCCAGCTGTTCCTCTGCCTCACTGCTGTCTAGTTCCAAAGGCAGCCGAGAACTGCCAGATGGCCTTGGCTGCACCTCTGCCTCCAATGCAGAGCCCTCATCCGAGCCTCCAGGACTGGCCCATGTTCCTCCCCAATCTCCTCAATGTCCGACTCTGCTGGCAGGCCACAACACATTTAACCTGGTTACTGAATCAACCCATTTCCTGGATTTGCACAATACTTCCAAGCAACTAAAAGATTCAGTTTGTACAATACTCTAAAAACAAGAAATTACAAATCAAAGTTAAAAAAAAATTAGTCAACAGTGAGGACCTTTGTGCTGTCTGAGCTTGGATGTTTTCTTGCAGAAATTTCCTTGACCAACTGCGGTAACATCACTGATGATCAGTGGGGGGGGGGGTCAAAAATTTTTAGAACCTCTTCTGTAGGTGTGGTCTGCTTTGTGGGAGTGGCTTGCCGGCCATGTGACCAGGTGGGAGTGGCTTGCCAGTCATGTGGCTGGGTGGGCGTGACCAACTTGTAAAATGTGGTGAAACTCACTTAACAACGCTCTTGCTTAGCAACCGAAATGTTGGCTCAGAAACTCTGGCATTGAAGCATGCAAGTCTTAAAGCTGTCAAGTTACAAGACCCTTGCACCCCTAACCCTTTAGAAAAAAACCCCCAGGGGTGTTCATACTTGACAGCTATAAGACTTGTGGACTTCAACTCCCAGAATTCCTCCTCTCGCTCTTTATCTTGATGATGTGCGGACGGGCGGGGGGAGGGAGCTGGAACCGGTTTTAAACGGTACCATAGATTTGTGGAACGTCTTCTATAGAAGAGGTTAGAACTGGCAGGACCCCCCCCCTCCTGCTGCTGATGTTACCTAGTTTGGTAATGAAATGTCTGCAAGGAAACATCCAAACTTGGAGAGCACCAAGAACCCCTTTGTTCAATCCTGAGCTAAAAGTATGTTCTTTTATTGGTAAAATTTCAGCAGGTTGTGTGAATCAGCCACAAGGTCTCACTGATTTGGCTAATGGTGTTGCACGAAGATAACCACTGTCTAGTTGAAAATGATTATTCTCATTCTGCTTAATTCTAAAGTCTCCTTCAAGCCATGGTTGATTTCTGATGATTTCATGAACGTGTCTAGGTGGTGTTCTTGTCAACAGCAGGGTGTGTTTGTCTCCCAGGATGTTTTTTCAACTTTGTTGTCTCTCTTACAGACTTGGGATTTCTTCACGGTCTCCCACTTGAGTATTAATTCAACCTTTTGAGATAGTCAAGATCAACTAGATGCTTCTGTCTAATGGTACTTTCCCAGTTCATCCTTTTCCAAATTGGTATCCTTTCAATCAGGGATCTCCAACTTTGGCAACTTTAAGACTTTTGGACTTCAACTCCCAGAGTTCCTCAGCAAGCAAACTGAGGAATTCTGGGAGTTGAAGTCCACAAGTCTTAAGGTTGCCAAGATTGGAGACCCCTGCTTTAAATGTCTTAGATTTAAATTCGCAGAGATTTCCGGAGTTGGTCTACCACATTTGGATGACCCCAGGCTGGGAAAGAAGATAGAACAAGTAGGGAGGTTATTATAGATGAAAATATAATTGTACAAATGATCAAAAACCACCACCTTGTCTTGCTCTCCAGACAGATGAATTTTCGTTCAGTTTTGCAAATCCACCAGACTTCCCTCCCACCCAAGAACCAAAACAATTGTACTGAATTTCAAACTCATTCAAGATCATTTGAGTAGATTTGGAAGACACCAAAGTTGAGCAACCTGGAGCCTCTAATTGGCTGATGGACTTTGCCCATTAATAGGTTTATATTACTATGTGGCTGGAGTTCACACATTAGGCTTAACTCTGAATCCAGGTTAATTCTTGTGTTCATATAACCTTGAATGCCCAAACAGAGAGACTATATTATAGTTTGTTGTGATGGCCTGATCCAACCAGGACTGCTGGGGGCTGCTGGGGGTTCATAGCTATGATTCTATGAACTCCCAAATCCCACTCCTAGCTGGCCATGCCCCACTGCTCCCAGGAGTCCCCACATGGCCTCTTTTGGATGCAGGTAAGCACAGGGCGTGCACGGAGGCTTGGGGAGGGCAAAAAATGGGCCTACCGGAAGTTTGGGAAGCCTCCGGAGCCTGGGGAGGCCGTTTTCGCCCTCCCGGAGGCTCAAAGAAAGCCTTCGGAACACAGGGAGGGCAAAACCACCCTTCCCTGCCGTGGTGCAGGAGGGCGGCTAGGCCACACCCATCACGGCCACGCCCACCCAGCAACCGGGCAGAGAACCCTTTGCTAAAATTTTTGAAGCCCACCCTTCAAAAATTGGATGGATCCCTGGATCCAACCTATATATATAAGCCAAAAACTAGATTCCAACAAAATACAGAAGCCAGGAAATCTACTTCCATTTTTGCATTGTCTAAGACGTTGTACGAACGCAACTTGCTTGTCACCAGAGGACACCGATGTGCAAAGTACGGCACACGCAAAAGATTGTAGCTTAAATACCCCTTCCTACTATACACCATGAAAGACCAGAATGCATTATTCCAATAACATGATAATAACGACAGACTGTCTCTGGTCTCTCTCTGGCAGTTTCCCCCTTCCTTTCTACCCCTCCTCTCCCTCTATGGAAACTCTGACACAGACAATCGGCATCATTTTGTCTCCATCGTGCTCGTCTGCTTATTATTACTACACTTTTCATCCCATCCAAATGACAGCTACAAAGGTCATCTCCAAAGAGGGCTGAGCTGTTCAGAGGTTGCCTTTTGGTAGGAATGCATGCCTTCTGGATGCGTACTTAATGAACTCAGACCAAAAGGGGAAATAATGACCAGTTTTCATCCAGTAAACCTTAGCTTTCTAATAAAACCCTGAAGAGAGAGAATGTTGGCTGAACTGCTGCGAAGAGGAGGAGAGGGGAATGAAACTAACAGAATAATAGCAGTGACGTGCAGTCAGGGGAGCGAGGGGAGGCACAGCCTCACCACTGTCAATCATGAAAAGGGGGGAAAAAAATGTGAAAAAGGCAAGTGCTGAGGTTAGGCTAGCTAGCCGCTGCCACACCGTGAATGACTGCCTGTTTAAAAAAGCCTCTAAAAAAGCGCCCTCTACTATGAGGCAGGAGAACTGCAGGCCTCATCTAGTCTGACTTTTTAGGCGCTCGAGCAGAGTTAAGCGAGGGTTAAAAGCCTAAAAAATCCCGAGGTAGTTGAGGCACGCAGTTCTCCTGCCTCATAGTAGAGGGCGCATTTTTTTAGAGGCTTCAACTCTGTCATTCTGTTTAAAGCTGCAGCGTCGCGCTCACTCTTCCTCCTCTCTTTCTCCGTTTCTGATGCCCCCACCCCCNGATAGATAGATAGATAGATAGATAGATAGATAGATAGATAGATAGATAGATAGATAGAATGGATATATGGATAGACAGACAGACAGACACCATTTATTAAATTTAAATCCATGGTGATTTTGGACAGCTAAATAAGTGAGGGGATGGATAGATGGACGGACGTACCAAACCATCCTTCTTTACTTTGGAGTTTACCAAAGCCCAGTTCCTTGAAGTGAATTCAATCTTCTCCACTAATCTATCAAATACTATTCTCAGCAAATGAGCAGATGTTTGAAGTCTATCCCCTAAAGATCCAGCAGCCCCCTGGCCACCAGACACTACCTCTTTGCTCCTGGGTTCTCCGACTCAAGTTCTGGACCTCAGAAGATCTCTTAAGCGGCTCGTTCGGTTTACCAAAAGGGGACATGGGGTTCCTATACCTTATAGGTCCGAGGATGATCTTGTTGAGCAGATCGTGGTAAAGGTTCTTAGCAGCGGTCAGGCCCATCCATTCAACGGTCAAAGACGTGACAAGGCAAAGGACAATGCCCGCCCCACTGAGAATGCTGAACACTGCAACGTGGCATGTCTGTTTCAAAACAAGGGTAGAAATTCTATAAATCCTGGGAAGTAATACTTTCTTTCCATTTCTTTTCATTGTTTTAAAACACCCCATAAACATATATCCCGATCAGAGGTGGGTTCCTACCGGTTCGGACTGGTTTAGCTGAGTAGGTAGTAACTCGGCCTGCCACACCCCAGAACCAGTTCTATCGGCGGCGCCATAGGTGCCGCCATCTTGTTTTTTACTACTGTGCATGCGCGCATTGTGTGCGTCAAGCATATGTGCTCACAGAGCAAGCAAGCACCCGCAGCGCATCCCTGAGCGAACCGGAAGTAGCAGCAGCCGGAACCCACCCCTGATCCAGATTATTTGGTGGTTCATCCTACTGAATAACTTTTGTACTGCGTACATCAGGGGTAGGAGCCTACCGGTTTAACAACCAATTCGCTGAGCATGTGTGTGCACAGTTTACGGAGAAATCACTGTCCGCCATTACTGCTGGAGAGGAAAACAGCTGAGCCGCGTCTGTCAACTGGGCTTCAGAAAAGGGAATATGAGTGAGTATAGCATAAGGGTGGGCAGGCGGGCCCAAGCCGAAAGTCGGAGCGAACCGCTGTTGGTCGGAGCTATCATTTCACCCAAACTGGTTGAATCTCACTCCTGCGCGTGACTCGACAAAAGCGCGCCGACAAAACCGCGGCGAGAAACCCGCAACATCGAAAGTGCTCCCACAAAAGAGCGCCAACAAAACCGCGCCCACAAAAGCGCGATTAGGGTTAAGGTAAGGGTTAGGTTTAGGGTTAGGGTTATTACATTGTTTTCGTTGTTTTTTGACGGCGCGCTTTCATCGGCGTGCATTTGTTGACACGCTTTTGTGGGCGCGATTTCAACCTCGCGGTTTTCTCGCCGCGGTTTTGTCGGCGCGCATTTGTTGGTGAACCACTCCTGCGTACATTTAATTACCCAGATTAACTGGATTTTATAGTTCTTTAAAAGAAAAAAAATGAAAGTTTCCTTTTTTAACATTGAATGTAAAATGGAATCGTGATATGCAACTAAACTATAAGGACAAAGGTACATAGAATTATACTACTGCAATGGGCAATTAGGAACATTGATGTGATGGAATGTGCACTTGCAGTAGCAGATCAATTCAGAACTTTCCTAGAAAGAGATGTGGATCAAGAGACTGCAGAGTACCGAACTGGATGGGAAGGAGGGAAGTGCTTCTGTGGGAAAATGAGGTGGCAGGATCTGGGGGGGGAGGAGTTAAAAGCGGGATCAGCCTAGAATCCCTATGTAGTCATAAGTGGATTAAGTCTACCCACCCACCCCTTGAACTTAATGGACCATCATCTAACTTCAAGCAGGTGTTATTCTTAGTTGAGAAGATTCTTGTACAGAGGTGTTTTTAAGCAATAAATCTATTGAATTGGACCTTCATGTGCAGATCTAGTCTTTCACCCCTAATCGTATCAGAGTAATTATACCTTAGCACCTCTCAGGATATATCTACTAACGTTATAGCTCAGTTTGGCAAGATTCCGTCCATTAGATGTAAGTAAATAATGGATTGAACTTGATGGGATTTTACTGTCTCATCACTGGTTTTGGGCCAGTGGTGAAATTCAATTTTTTTTACGACCAGTTCGATGAGCATAGCAGGGGAAGGATACTGCAAAATCCCCATTACCTCCTGATCAGCTGGGACTCGGGAGGCAGAGAATAGATGGGGTGGGGCCAGCCAGAGGTGGTATTTGCCGGTTCTCCGAACTACTCAAAATTTCCGCTACCGGTTCTCCAGAACCTGTCAGAGCTTGCTGAATTTCACCCCTGGTTTGGGCCCTGGTTTATGAAGAAATCAGAATTTTTAAAAACCTTGAATGAATGAATGAATGAATGAATGAATGAATGAATGAATGAATGAATGAATGAATCGGAATCTTTATTTGCTATGATCTGAGAAACCCCAAAAGAACCCCAAAATTGTTCCAATATCTAAGAGGCTGCCACAAAGAAGAGGAGGGGTCAGCCTTTTCTCCAAAGAACTTGAACTCAGAACAAGACCCAATGGATGGAAACTAATCAAGGAGAGAAGCAACCTAGAACTAAGGAGAAACTTCCTGACATTGGGAATACTTAATCAGCGGAACAATTTGCCTCCAGTAGTTGTAGATGCTCGAACACTGAGAGATTGGACAAACGTTTATCCAAAATGGTATGTTTCCTGCCTGAGCAGGG